AAAAGTTAATAACTAAAATAGATCACTTATTTAACCATTAAGTTTATTTTTCTTTGTTCTAATACATTTAAATATTAACATAATGTTTTTCCTATTAGATAATATTGCGCCGTTTACATCAAATGTCATAATTTAAGTATTAATTACTACCACGTATTTATAGAACAAATACCTCATTAATATTATCAATATAAGTTTAATTTAAATATGGATTGTAACTACATTTCCTTATTTTAATACAAATGTGATTTTTTTATTTTTATTTACGCGCAATTATTTTGTCGTACATTCTTATCTTTTTGGGGTAGCTATCTTTCTTCTATTTTCACTACACATATTGTTATTTACACTTAAACCCAAGTCAAAGCAACGCTGTAAGTTATCACTTCAGTTTTTTATTAGTCTTCATCTGCTCCTTTTTTGTGACACTAGATTTTTGGATAATCATTATCTCAATCTTTGATAGTAAAATCGAGTTGAACGCTTTTCTAAAATCCGTATACCAGGGTTATCTTATTTCAAAATATTCTACGTAAAGAACAATACAATTTTGCACGTATTTGAATCAATTTTCGAAGCACTTTTCCACTCTGATTGAGGTACCTTCAAAACATGCATTTTGAACGCATTAACCAATCTTCAGATGTCGAAAAACGTTGACCTCGTCATTTATTTTTGATGTCCTGGAATAAAAATAGGTCATTAATTGTCCTCCATACATCTTTTTCCTAAAATTTTACTTTCCTATATATTTTATTCTTCTTTCTTATTCATTATCCAGGTTTTTGATGCGTACATGATAGTAGGTTGAATTATCGTTCTGTATACTCTGATCTTTGTTGCTCTTGATATTGTCTTGGATCCCAGCATTCTTTGAAAGTCACCCTCAGGTACTCAAATTTTTTAATCTTTTTAAATCAATATTTATAGGTTTTGTTCCATTTAATTTCACATACGATGTCGCTCCATTTTGGTAATAATTAGTAATTATAATAGAGGTGGGTGATACAGAGAAACCGTAACGGCAACTCTTAAAATATTTTATGATATACTGCAAAGTTATATCGTGGTAACCTACCTCTGTTTATGGTTGTTAAAGGAATCATAACGGGCTAGCCCGGTAAAAATTTTAACCGATCACTTAATAAAACCATAACAATAATCATTAATTTTTATTGAAAACGATACATATTACAACTGTCAGTTGTAACTGAACTGTCATTATTTTAAGTCACATTCAAAACTCATAATGATGGTGGTGAATGATAAAATTTTATTTGACTTTAGGTTGTAAAAGGTAGTAAATTGCAGTATATCATAAAACGTTGTACGATACACTTCCGTTACCTGATCTCTACGTGCTCACACGGTCATATAACGTGCACGCTAACGCTCGCACTTTATAACGACCATGCTCGCATGTAAAGATCTAGGTAACGGGCTTGTAACGTAAACTACTATTAATAATACTTACTTATCAAGAAAATATTAACGTTACAAATTCACAATGCCTAAAACGTTCATAAATTTACAATGTTTGACTGAACGCTGGCCCCTGAATATATGTACCAATCTTTCTTACTGAAAGTACCATTTAAAAATACTACATAAGGCATTTTGTGGGATTTCATCGCTATTATTCCACGTTTTTTTATATTTAGAGTATTTATTTCGGAAATGACCGAACTATTTTCATTTGCGACATTTGATATTTTGTCTTCTGTTCATTCACAATTAACCATATTCCCTTGCTTTTTCCTCTCCTGTTATAAATGTTTTCTCCTATACTCCTGTCGACCTTAAAAGCATCACATCGTCGGCGTATGTCACATATTGGTGTCAATAATTTGGCTTTCTCGGAGGATTACTTCTTATAACAGGTTAAATAGCGAGTCCTCTACCACTTGAAAGCTATATGAAAGACTACTCTAATCATATGACTCGTTTCGTTTTGGACTAGTGTTACTATTTTTATAGGTATTTTCAATTTTTTCAGATCTTTTAATGTTAGGTGTAATAAAATAAGAGTAAATAAATACTGTCATGTCGTAGGGTGGCAGTGTAGATTTTTCGGGGTTTTTTTTTGTAGCCCAGATTTTATTTGACCAGGCCACGTCGAGCTCTAGCTCTTCACGCTATATTCTGAGTAGCTCAGACTACTCCAAGGTTTGGATAAAGTCCGTTCGACCCAAAATACAACCTGTTGAGGAGTACTTAATAATATACTTTACTTTAACTAGCACATTTATTAATTCCCAAATAGATAGGGTGAAGGTACCAAAGAATGCACGGTTAAAGCATTTTTAAGTTTTGGATATTCATAACAATCAAACGGATTGTTGCAAATCCACAGATTTCTTGTACCTACCCAGGCAGCACACTTTGGTATAAATTACGTATTTTTTTAGGTACTACCATACGTATGAATACGGTTGATGTACTACCAAATATATTCGTGAAAATGTCCGCCTTATAAACGTCGATTACTAAGAATTTATCCACCTATAATTTAACGTTTTTACTATACGTCTATATGAGATTTATAGTTGTAGTATATTTATACGAATTCACTTTGGTATAAAATACGTTTTTTTATGTACTACAATATACGTATGGATACTGTTGATATGCTACCCAATATATACGTGAAAATGTCCGCCCTATAAACGTATATTTTTTTATTTTTTATACGTTTAACATTACTACTTTATCTACCTTTAATTATCCTGTTTTACTATACGTCTATATTAGATATATTTGTATGATTTTTATTAATGTGTAAAATGAGTCTACCTGATATTGTTTTAAATGTATTTCAAACACAAATTAAATAAAGTGATCAAAACAAAATTTCTAAAAGAGGCCATGGAAAAATGTTAATATATCTTAAATGATAGTTTGGATTTTATCCATAGCAGGTGTCTATACACCAGAAATAGGCATTATTCGTGTTTCTATTTTGGTTGTAATTGGTCTAAATATTTAGAAAAATTTTTTTGATCACTTGTTATAAGTACAGAACAATATTTAATTAAAAAAAAAATAAACAATAAAATACTAAAAAATAAATAAATACAAAAAAATAAACACTAAAATACTGAATAACAAACTAAACGAAACTTTTTTTTAACTAACAAAAAATATATATGAAAATAAAAATCTTAGCTTAACACTTTGGATGTGTTGTGTCCATGGCACACCTAATCGTTCGGTCGGTTAAGTCGCTTGGTTCACCCCCATTCCTATAACCAAAATTTAACTCAATTTCAGGTGAAATATTTTCTAAAAGCTCCGAAGTTAAATTTGTATTATTTTCTTGGAAATTATTATAAATAATAGAATCAGATGATCTATTAATATCCGAAGCCTTATTAATGTTATCTTCATTGGTAATAAAAAAAAAATTGATTTGACTTTAAAGCATCTTGAACATTTTACGCTATTTTTCTACGTAGATGACGCAGAGACAGGGTTATTTTAGATATTTTATTAAATGAAAAACAACTGACCAAAAAAAGGAAAGTAAGTATGTTTGGAATAACTAGGTATCCTAAAAAATACGTATAAAAATAAAAGAAACAAAAGTAAGGTTATGTTTTGATGTTTCTATAAGTATTTAACACACTGTACGTACCTATAAAACAGTAGTTGTTGTAAAATGCAACAATTATCAAAGGAGTAGCTAAATTAAAACATTAATAGAAACTTACCTACGCTTTTAATCAATATTGTAAAAGCCAGGACGCAACAAAACGTGTACACAAATTAAAATGGACGAACCGATGAACCTGCTCCCACAAACCATTCCCTACACTGAACAATAATACTACACATACGCATGAGTAGAAATGAGAAAAGACCGTACCACTAGTACGTCATCCTCCATCCGCCATCTAAAAATAGTTCCATGTGTATGGGGAATTTGTTATAAATATTACAGGTAATATAATTTAAAAAATATGGATGTAATGTAAATAAATATATCTATAAGCTTTTAATTTAAATAAACCTAAATATATACACATTATTTACTTCTGTCTACTAGTTCATCGTAAACTGCTATTATGCGTTTATGGTGACTTATATTTAAACGTAGAATAATATAGGTATATTAACTAGTATCGACAAACAGAAGCGTTTAATTTATTTGTTAAAAAACGTTAAGTATAAAAATGGTAGATGGTAAACGTTTAAAAAATCAACCAAGACGAAATTTAAACGGGAATTATAAACGAAGAAAACATATTGTAATATAATGTAAATTTATACGAATTTAATTTAAATAAACCTAAACGTATATTTAGGCCCACTGTATATAAATAGTTCATCGCAAACTAAAAATAGTCGTATATTGTTAACTATATTTAAACGTAGAAAAATTTACAATTATATACCATAGGATGTATATAAAAAACGTATAATATATCGTTTAAAACACGGTATGTATAATAATCGTAAACTGTAAACGTATACGGAATCAACCAATACCAAAATTAAACGAGTATTACGTATAAAATACGTAAGTTATACTAATGTGTGCTGCCTGGGTAGTTAAGAAAATAATGAATTAATTTCTAAAATATTCAAATTTAAGCCGTCTTCTCCCAAAAATTTAAATTTTAATTTTAAAGTTCAAAATATAATTTTTCCTAGTGAATGAACAAGTGAAACCAGTGAATGAAATTGAAAATTCCAGAAAATGAATAATATTTTATAGTAATTTCTTTACGGGTTAATATTATAAACACACTTAAAAATGGTGCAAATGTAACTTTATTTATCAGAATACTAGGTACAAATTTTTGGTAAAAAGTATTCAGAAAATTACTGAAAACTTTCAGTACAAACAAGCTTTTTAAAAATTAATATAAACTCTGAAGACAAATAAATGTAAAAACAACCTTTCAATACAAATTAAAATAAATATCTTTCTTTATACAGGTTTTGACAACATCGAACGAATAAAAGAAACAAATACGAAGAAATATATTTCACAAAAACTATTTTGTATACTCATCCATATCTTTACAAACATAAGCACCGGTCTTGCAACTTAGAACAAGCTTTTCTATTTTTTTGGCTATGGAGTTACGGGAATACCATATCTGATCCTTTGGTTTAGGCCATAACCACATTTTATCAGTTCGTTGCCTCATTGCATTTATTTCGTACTTGTCTCCTTCTGAATCAGTGATTAAACCTATAAAAGGTTTTCCGTCGTACATTGCTATGACATAGTCGCCTAGGCCTAGAGTATAACAACTAGTCTCTGAATTTAATCTGTTTTTGTTTGTATTTTCTCCTACGTTTTTTGGGTTGTTTTGCTTTTCTTTTCTGTAAAGACTTGGCCTTACCATTAGATGTTGAGGTATTCACATTGTATTGCTTCTCTTTTCCCTTTTCTGTAGTCTTGGAGTTTTCTCGTTTTTCTTTCTTCTCCCGCATTTCTTGTCGTCTTTTTTGTACTTTTTCTTGTTTGATTTAATTTTTTCTTCCTGAATCTCTTTCCACTTCTTTGATGTTATGACAAAGGGTATTTTTTCCGTATTTCTTTTTTTCCCTGCATTTGATTCAATTTTAGGCAAAGATAAATGCATTGACCACATGTTTTCGGATAAAATAGGTTTATTGCTTTTAAAAGTCACTGATCTGTGGTTACTTGTTTCCGTTTGTGTTATTCGCTAAATCATCATTAGTTCCTGTCTCATTTTCTATACTAACATATCTTATTTCATCGTTATTGCCTACTGTCATCTCGTTTCTATTATTTTGTATGACTTCTGAATCATAAATATTATTCACACTTTTTCTGTCATTTAGCCCGGAAACTGAAGGTCTGATACTATTTTTCTGACTACCCTCTTGCTTTTGATCGTAGACTTCGTTTGAATTATTGTTCACAACCACTTTACTTGCAGTAGCTTGCGTGTGGTCCGTAAAAGTTAATATTTTATTTAAATCCTTTTTATTGGTCAGCCCTATTGCGTAGTCCACTCCAGCATTATGATCATTCGCTGCCTTTGCTGCGTTTCAAATGCTTGTGGAATTTTCCACTGAAGCAAGATGATTTTTCGTTTTTTTTGTTTAATATTTTCTTTTACGTTATCTTCAGGTACATTTTCTTTGTCGTTTTCTTCGAATGTGTCATCACTTGTAGTACTTTGATCAATTTGGTATTTATTTTCATTATTTTTAAGTATATGTTTTTTAGAATTTTCTTGAGTATCCTGCATAACTTTAGCATCTTCATAGCAATGTTCGATGCTTTGATCAATAACACCATTAGATGTCATTGTAAATTCATCATTTGCAGTTTCATTAAACCCGTTATCTTCAAAAATATCTTCTGTGACTTATAGGATTTTTTAACTGTTGTCTTCTTGTTGCTTAACATTTGGTATAATCGACAGAATCCGCTGAAAATGGAAAGAGGCCATAAATTCTGAATCCGTTTTTTATTGTTTCGGTTCTGATAAATTCAAATGCCTTTTTTGAATACTGCACATAATTACTTTTCGTGATGGCTTTCGTTTCTTGTTTGTGTGATCTCACCTCTTTCTTCCAATATACTTTAAGAGGACGAAATATAGAAACGTCGCAGGGCTGCATTATATGTGTGGCATTTGGTGGGAGACAGTACACAATTATCTTTTTATCAATACAAAAATCCTTCCTTCCAACTGATTTTAAAATATTTTGAACAGCATCTTTTACATCTTCTGGATTCATTGGAAAACCAATTTTCGCTTTGTCAATAATCCATTTTCTATTTGATTTTCTTCCACTTTAGTTAAAACAGGATGAGGTCCCATTTTTCGGGCAATTGGTACTTTTTACTTCAATTTATTGTATATGATATATACGACTTGCAGCATTCAAACTTAGGCGGCCCTGTTTGATTTCTGTTAAAGATTTTTCAAGATCTGATTCGCTATATTTGAATCTTTTGTAGGTTTTCTTATTTTTTGTAGTAGAATCCATTTTTAGCTTCAAAAATATTTTTAAATAGAGGTACCTATATATAAGAATAGAAAGATTGTTGTTATAATATAAAGGCAGAATGATCCAAAATATACGAAAGTTTAGTAAAACAAAAACAAATTTCTGTGCTACGATACACCACCCAAGTGAGATTAAAGAAAATTTCATTTTATTTTTCAAAATATTTTGAAAAAACTTCTATTTTTTATTAGTATTCAATTTCCCATAAACAAAAGCTTACCAATGAATGAACAACGTGAATTTAACCACTGTTATTATTATTGACATCCTCTTTCTTACTATAAATTGCTTTCCAATAAATGAACATAGTAGATGCAACTGGTGTTCAAATACTGGTTTCTAGTGTTTTATAACCAATTATGAGTCTTCTAGTATAAGTAAACTTTTTTAATATAAAGTTATAAAATTTGGAAAAATGTATTAATTAGAATTTGTGACAGTACACTATTTTTTCTTGTGTATAGAGTGTACACTCTATGTATAAACTCAGTTTGAGAATAATAGAAAGTGAAAAATACGTCCCCGGTGTCAGTAGCCACGGCTCTTTTACAGTAGCTGTTAACTCCCACATTATAAGTACAGGAAACAAGGAACCATTGTTGTTTAATCACGAAAACAACACGAAATTGGTCGAAAACACGGTTCGCGAGGCCGCGAAGCGTTTAATAAAAATAATCACCGTTGTGTTAGTTGGAAATTAAAAATAAAAATAATATTGTAGGGATCCGTCAAGCGGAACATCGCGTATGAGTTACAAGTCTATTCAATTTGTTAAAATGAGCTGGTAGAAAATTTTAAAATCGCCTCTGAATACATTAATGTTTAAATGATTAATTTCGTTCTCAGGTTGTTATACACCGTAAATAAAAAATTAACTTATTATAAAGACGAAAATTTACTTTTTCTCTCGTCTCTTTCTAATAAAATTATATACAGTGAATCGAAAAAAGAATATAAATCAGTTGCCCGAATAAATTACAAGAAATCGAAAATAAATAAATTCGATAATTTAAGCAATACAGTTTGAGTTCCTTATAAATACTGAAATCGTTAGAAAAACCCATCAAAAAACAAAAAACTCAACCTCAAAATATTGGTCTCGACGAGATAATTTCTTTAAAAATTATGCCCAAGTATTGATCACTTCACATACAAATAATATAAATATAAATACGTACTTAAAACACCTGCATACAGGGAAACTCATATGTCGTCTTCAGTCTCACAAACTGACGTATCTCTAAAGTGAATTTTTTGAGATACGGCTGTAGAAATAATTTAATTTTATAGATATTCGTTCTCACAAAGTGGCGTAACACAAGCTGTAACCGTTACGTAGTCCGTAAGGGATGTATCTCCTTCACATACTTTGATTACATTGCTCTGCTGTAAAATTAGATACAGTCTGTTCGCTATACTTACGCGGGTCTCGGATTAACAAAATTATGCAAATTAGTCATTGACAACCAGTTCCAATAAGCCTCTTTCCAAGAAATTAGGTAAAATTGCCCTAATGGTCAGATTTAAATTAAAATAACATTAGTACTAAATTTATTACAAATATTGCAGTTGAATTGATTCTTTTCAAGTGTTGACATTGTATGTATATTGTAAATTTAGTGGAAATTTTAAAAATGCCTAGACGTGTGTTAGATGTAGATAGTCTAATTTGTAGTGTACGTAAGTATTTTACGGATGAAAAAGAAAATGGCGGTCCTTTAAAATCGGTAATGTCTGTACAACAACGCGTATGCGATGCTCTAGGAATTAGTGAAACCAAATTAAGAGGAGTATTACAAAATCACAATAATGAACTGCCGAAAGAAGATCACCGCAAAACTCGCCCATCATTGAAAACGAATGATATTCCAGATGCAAAGAAATTTGAAATTCGTGATACCATTTATCGAATGAGGGTCAACAAGGAACATGTGACCTTAAATACAATTCTCTAGGAATTAATAGATAGAAAATTTGACGACAATGGCAGAACAAGTCTATGGCAAGTGATACATAACTTGGGTTTCAAATTTCAAAAGGAGGATAACAGAAAGGCCCTTTGTGAAAGAAGTTTTGTCGTGCACAAGAGAATTAACTTTCTAAGAAAATATTCTAAATTTAAAGAAGAAGGGGCGAATTTTATATATTTAGACGAAACATGGATATTTTCTAGGGGTGCAACCAAGAGAATATAGCAAGATGATAACGTAAAGTCCATCAAACATACCGATGGAGAAGGGAAGCGACACATAATTTTACATGCAGGAGGGAAATCGGGTTTTATAGAAGGTGCTGATTTAATATTTTCATCTAAATCAAAATCCAGTGACTATCACGATAATATGAACCCAGAAATGTTTGTAAAATGGTTGCATCAAAAACTTCTCCCAGGTTTAAGTGAGCCCAGCGTAATTATTTTAGACAATGCACCTTACCATTCTGAAGTATTAAACAAAAGTCCAACGAATTCTTGGACTGTTGATAAAATTAAAAAATGGTTGACAAAGGAACATATACCATTTCCTCAATATATATTAAAATCAGAATTATTACGCTTGGCAAATATACACGCAAAACCAAAAACCTTTGTTGTGGATCAGATTATTGAAAGTTACGGTCATCAAGTTTTACGTCTGCCACCGTATCATTGCCAGTTTAATCCCATCGAATATATATGGGAAATAGCAAAACAATATTATGACAACCATATTGGGCTTAATGGTTATAGTGACGACGCAGTTCGGGAAACTTGGCGAAGAGTACTTTCAATTGCAACTCCAGAAGTGTGGCGGAACTGTATATCCAAGTGCGAGAAACTAATAGAAGATTGGTGGACTCGTGAAAATAAAATAAAGGAAATAAGTCCAATCATAATAACAATTAATGGTGATGACAGTAATATTATGATGCCGATTATGATATTTGGGATGATAATGACTAATTTTCATTTTTGTTGGCAAGTACAATTTTTGTATTTTTCATTTGAAATTCTCTACATGGAACAAATTTTTATGTTAGAAAATATTTTATTTAAGCTAAATAACCCTCTTATTATACATAAACCATATTTTCTGTGTAAAGTGTAATATAAAATTATTATTAGGTTTATAATAGCCACATTAGACTCCATTAATGAAGAAGTTTAATTCTGCTCTCAATTATACAAAAGAGTTTCCATTATTATTTAATTAAAAAGTTGTACATTATTTTTCATTTCATTTAACCAGTTGATATTTCCCCAAAGAACAGGTCAAACTTTCGGGTACTTACCTGGAAATACTCATAAAGTTTTTAATCCGAAACCCGCGTAAGTATAGCGAGCAGACTGTAGGTCACTTTGTGAGGTTGACGTCGATGTGTCTCAGGTCACTAGATATCCACGACATATTACCAATTATTGTAAATACCTTAAAAAATAAAATAACCGAAGTTATTTATGGAGTAAGTAAACATGCATTAGTAGATATTATAAATACATGTTTAACGGAAAGCCTATTTCCACACTTAACGAAGAAAAAAGAGAAGAAAAAAATGTGCCAAAGATCTATCTCAAAATTATAGACAAATTGTCAATGTTTTCGAAAAAATGTTAAGTTATTATAATTAACTAGAACATGTTGACAAAAATAAAATATTAAAATAATAAATTGAAATCAGTTTAGTTTTTGGAAAAATCTATCCACTACAGATAATACTGAAACTGTTACATAGTCAATTAAAAATTCTTTTGAGAAATATTTAGGAAATAATTAAATGTTACGTTTTGTCAATAAAGTTATGCATATGCAACTAACAATACAAGAAAGTAGTAATATTAGTTGCCTAGATGTCAGTAATTTCTTGCCAAACCACAATTTTATAAACAATTTAGTCAAAATTAGAAAAAACATTGTATGTAACACGCTACGCAATGCCGTTTTATGTAACTCGTTCATGTTGCTCGTCCCGAAGATGCACTCGTTACATAAAATAAGGTATTTCGTAACTGGTTTCATAAATAGCTATTATTTAGCGATAATAAAAATATTTAGGACAAATATAATATTTAATTTAATATAATTTTGTTTGTTGCAGGAAAGCGACGGTGAAAAAAGTGATCAGGATTTAGTTGTCGATGTAGCCAATGAAGTAAGTAAAGTTAATAAAAATTTTATAATAAAAAGAGCCGAAAATTATTTTTTTAAGATAATCTAATAAATCATATTTAATTCATAAGCTATATATTAATCACGGGTCATGGAATACCGGGGTTTTATTTTATTATTTAAAATAATTTAAGTCATTTATTTTGAGACTGTTTAATATTTATATTTAAAATTTAGCACAACTTTAAAACACATTAAATAGTGTGAAAAAAGAGAGTGTTTCTATTACTAGAGGCGTACGACAGGGACAGAATCGTTATGTATTATTTTTCAATTCTATAAAACTTTTGTTTCATTTGACATAGAGTAACTAGCCATTTTACAAGATATTTGCGTTTGAAAATCCGACATTATGATTTTAATGTTTATAGCAAAAATATTAATTTTCCTACGACCACTTAGGAAAGTGACATATATCACACTATATAGTCCTATGGAAAGTGCCCTATATCACACGCGTATGAATAAAAATTTACTTTCCACCCGTGTACGAATATGCTACTTTCCGCAGTAGCTGTCACAAAATGTCAAACATATCATTTCTATTTTGATCTATGTAATGTCCATATTAATACTAAAATCGATATGATTGTTAAATTTTTGAAATTGTTGTAAATTAGATCCTAGATATTTATCTTTAACAATTATTATTAAAATAATTTTAAAATAACTAAGATATATTTGCTTTTTATTCTGGTTAAACACATAAGCGATTAGATCAATCAATTACCGTGTTAGCTTAGTTGGTTAGAGCGTCAACTTTGCAATTTGAGACCGTTCGAGCGACCGCGTTCAAATCCTGGCTGTGCCGAAATTTTTGTTTTATTTTTTTTTGTTTTTTAATTTGTTTAAAAAATATGAAAATTGAATAAATGCGATTATTGTTGATTATTTTTTTAAATACATTCTAATTATTATAATAATGACCTGGTTTTACATTTTTTGATGAAATTATTTTGTGGTCGTAGCAAAAATATTGTACATTACTTGTGTGAAAAGTGATTTTCCACACTCGTAATGTAATATACTATATTATAATACACTCACCGGCAAAATTAACCGCCCACCCAATGTTTTGTTATTTAGTTGGAGATATTTGTAATTTTGATTTTTTTTACTTTTTAATCTCTAAGCGAAAGAACGACAGCATTGACAGTTAAACATTTATTTACTGTCAAAATGCCACGTCATATCAATTAATGTCAAAAAGTGACGAAAATCTCCGAAAATTTCAGAAATAAATAAAAATAATTGGGTGGGCGATTAATTCTGCCAGTGAGTGTAGTTTCTTGGTTAAGTAAAGTAAAATGTTTTGATATTTCGCAAGCACTCAATTTTTTTTAACATTAATAAATGATTTACTTGAAATAACTGTATCTCAGTTAGGGATTGATCTAACCTGGATAACTTAATTTTTCTTTTTCGTTCTAATATTGATCATTAATGATGTTTAAAAAAACGATACGCATACGAAATCAACTTTATTATGACTAATTTTAAAAAGTGCAAACAAATTCTGTGTCAAAACAAATAAAACACAAATTAAAAGTATTATTAGTTAGATTTTAAATATAGATTAGAAGTCAATATTAAGTCTGTTCCAACAACGATTAGAAAGCAGTCAGTGACACCAGGATTATGCGCAGTAGAGAATTTCACGATCCCAATAATCCCAGAATCCTGGTGTCAGTGACTGGTTTCTGATCGTTGTTGCAGAAAACCAATTATTAATCGAAATAATTATAAATTTAAACATAACATAATAATTACCCTTGACTGAGATCACAGTAATGACAATAATTAGCTATTTCAGAATTCTATTCAGTTTTATTCTTATATATGACAGACTACCGAGTCTATCTAATGAATAGCACAGCACACCTCAACAATCACAATAACTATTCTTTATAATATTTTAACTCTTTAGTTTTTAAACAAATAATCAACTTTTAGTTTGAAAAAACGATCTTAGGAAACAAATTGTGTTGATTGTGTTATCTGCCAATCTATTATAATAGAGCTAAAAATGTGGCCTGCGACCGAGAAGGCTCTCTCAGCTTCTACAATTTTGTTTGCTTAATTGTCAGCAAATAATCATGAATATCAGACAAGTATTCTCCTCGAATTCCTTCACTTTCAAATGCAGTCATTTCCTTTTTTTAGCGTCAAACGACTCACACGCACAAGCGCCACGCGTTTAAATTACCTGCTCATGCAACAGCGCGGTTATTTTACCATAATATATTATCACCGGACCCGGTCACCGTGTATATTGATGCCTGATCCGCCGGATTCCCGGATCCGCTTTTCCAGATTGCATTCCCTATTCTCAGTAAGGAAAAGAATTTTATGTTAAATTTTTATATTTTTGTCCAAGGATTCGCTAGTGTTGTTATATGGCTCATTTATTAATAACTAATGACCGGAGCAGGGAGTAACGAAACTAAAACATTACTTTTTAAAATGCCCGAAAAGTAACGGTAATTGCGTTACTTTTACAAAGTAGCTCAAAATCGTTACTTCGTTACGTGTTACTGCAAAAGTAATGCGTTATTGCAAAAGTAGGGCATTACTGCAAAAGTAATACGTTACTAAAAGTAATTTAAAAGTAACTGAAAAGTAAAGCGTTACCAAAAAGTAGCGTTACCAAAAAGTAACGCGTTACCAAAAAGTAATGCGTTACCAAAAAGTAACGCGCTACTAAAAAGTAATGCTTTACTAAAAAGTAACGCGTTTCTAATATTGTTTTTCTACTGTTGCTGTTTAAGTAAAATTTTGATTTCGCACGCCCCTATATGTTTTATGTCATTAAACAAATAATTCTCCTCAGTCACGCACAACAGTAATAATGTGAAGATAAATGGTGTATAATGTATAACGAATAAATCTACACCTACTGCACCAGTTTACCACACCACACACAAACGACATTTTAATATATCACTAAAATTTTACATTATTGATCTAATTTTGCTTCTAGAAGATTTGTGTTACCTATACTATGTATGTGTATTTATATTATTTTGTAATGTGAACAATTCAATATACTTACATACTTCATCTTCATACCTATTTATTATATGTTGTTAATCTAATTTTTATGATTACACTATTTTATAATATAATTAAATTTACAATAAAATTTAGAGTATTAATAAATCACACTTTGTGGCAATAGTGTCGTGTTCGTATATTAGATTTAATTCTTTAAAGTAGATTTGAGTCTAAACCCGCTAAAAATGGATTTTACACTTGCATAAACAGGATTAAACAAGATTATTTTTCTGAGATATCTAAGATGCATTTCTTAGCAATATACTGTAATGATATACTGTAGTCAATTTTATGTTTATTTTAATTAAAGTATATTTTTTTTTTTATTTTTTTTTTATTTTTTTTTTTATTTTTATTTTTTTTTTTATCTCAGGGGTGCTTCCAAATTATAATATTAATACTGTTTTATTTTGTTTAATCTTATATGAATTCTATTTCAATTTTGTTTTAATTTTATTTAAATTTTATTTTAATATTATTTTAATTATATTTTAATTATATTTTAATTATATTTTAATCTTTTGTAGAATCTATTTATTGGAATGATGCAAAAGTTCTCGTAGATGAAGAACTTTGATAAGTACCTGTCTTTTGTTATATTGTGAAAAATAAACGCTTAAATAAACAAACTCTTATAAAAATCAACTTATAGTTTAATTTCCACACAACATTATAGAAAACATTGAACAAATCAGATATTCCATATCTTGAAGAAAATAACTTATAAACGACCCTACTACACCTACTAAAAAATTGGAATTGTCAAATTTTACAAAATCCAATAACTATAATCTATCACTTAGACATTTAATTAAAATTAACTAAATTTACATCTAATTTCAGAATTGTCCAATTTCCTAACGAATAAATTGTTAGATACCTTTTATTCCATTTTTTTTTTTTAAATATTTATTAGTCAAAACGCACAAAATAAAATGTTTATATATTATGGCGTACTCACAGTCTTGGTTCTACTATTCTTTACTTTTCCTTGGACTCCTGGTCTACATCCATCTCCACCTCCTTTTTTATGTACTCTCCTTTTTTTTGTATCTATTTATGGTTCCTTTTATATTTTACAACGTAACTTCTAAGTTTTGCTTATTTAATTGTTTCTATATTCCTTTAATTTACAATTCAATTTATTTTCCAAAATAACTACTGACATTTTTCAAAAAATCAAAATTGACAATCCAATCATTCCCAAACCTAGAAACCACCCTTTTCTACTTACTTACCCAAAGTCTTCACTTATGACTCTCTTATACCAAATTTTAATATACAGGGTACATCTTCCCACATTATTTTTATTTATTCTTATTTTTATTATTATTATTATTATTATTATTATTATTATTATTATTATTATTATTATTATTATTATTATTATTATTATATTATAGTTATTATTATTAGTAATGTTATTATTTTTAGTTTTATTATATTTTAATATAAGGTGTTATCATTACAATACTTAAACTTCATTTTTCCTTTGTTTTTCTATTAAATCTAAAGTCGATTTCAAGCTATCTACCAATTAGGACTGGTTCATTAAAGTATTAACCGATTGTGTTCAAGCGTTTTGTGGTGCGTTTGATTTGATCATCGGAGATCTCCGAGCGCTTCAAAAGTGTTTGAATTGACACTCCGAGAGATCCCTAAAGTGTTTGTTTCGCTTTGGAGCGAGAACATAGAGCGAGCTCGATGTTCTCAGAGCAGAAAGGTCGAGAAGAGGGAGAAATTTGTCTTTGTCTCTACCTATCTCTTTTTAATTAACTTACAAACAAATTTGAATCTCAAAATTAAAGACCAGACAAGAACTCAACAAATTACTTAGCCGCTTTTGTCTTATAGCTAAAATTATTCATCATAAAAAAACACAAAATGTGTGTTTGGAAAATACATTTTTTCTGTCCAGATCTAATCACCAGTAATCACAGTCATGGAGTAGGAGAGCGAAACGGGCATTTGTGGTAAATGCTGCATTTCAGGGCCATTACCCCTTATTATTAAAAGTTTTTCCATTTTCTGTACTTTTTGTTCACTATTTTAACATACAAACCAGAAACAAGAATCACAAAAAAGCGAGGTTATGTTTTTTACTCTGTTTTATTTGATTTGATTCAATGCTCTATTGTGACGTCATCACTTCTCGGTCTCCTCGACGCTCGCTCGATCGAGTTTCAAATCAAACGCCCCTTTGTATGCTTTGGTTTTCATGTCATGACGTCATAAACAAGCCCTTTGTGACGTCACTCATTTGTCAAAATATAACCGGTAATAACTAAGTACTTCAGTTGGTTATAGATGATCTACCTCTTTTATTATTATCTATTAACTCTTTCTCAAGATTATTTTCATCGCTCGTCTTATGAAGGTGAGTGTTCTGTGGTCTTGTGCCTTATCAGGCCTTGTGCTCGTTGTGTGAGTGTTTTGTGGTCGGCTTCATTTGGTTAAATAAAATTAAAAAGTGGAAGAAAGCAGCTTTGAAGTTAAAAGAAATTCAGGTATCTAATTTATTTATGAAAAATGGAAGAATCTTCACAAGGAAAGTACCAAATTTGTATAAATTGTGAGGGTAGGGATTATTTGGTAGTGGTAGACGATTTAGAAACTGCTACTCAACTTGTAAACGGTATGTACAAGTATTATGTAAACTAAAAACAGTTTATACATTTATAAAAATTGTAGATTATGATGTTACTTTGAGCTACATTGAGTCAAATCCACAAAGGTGCACATTGCCAGATGATTTAGGATGTGAAATTAAAGATGTTGAAAATAGTGAAGTAACCGAGAAAGTAACTCAGGAAGTAACTAATGAAAAGGAACATATTACAGAAATATGGACACGAAGAAAACCATCTGAACGAGACATAGAGGCAACAAAAGTTCTGTTGACATTAAGGCAAAGAGACTTTAGACTTTTTGATGACAAGAAAACATCCAAGGAAAAATTATGAAATGAAATAGCAGATACTCTTAAACAGTATGGTTTTAACGTAGGTCCGAATAGATGGGAAACATGCAGGCAAAAATTTTCTAACCTCACAAAATCTTACATATGTAAAAAATCAGACGGCAACAGGTGCTGAAAGAAATGATAATATACCGCCTTTCTATGAGGAATTTCATTTTAGGTATTTTTATACAGTTTTGAAACAATATATGTAATGTATTTATTTAGGATAAATTTGTTTTTATCTTTATTAATGCTTTTTAGAGTCTAAGCATAAAGTGAACCCTAAAAATCTCCGAGATTCTTTAAGCAATGATGACAGTGAATCAAACAGCGATCAGCAAAATGATCAAATAGAAGAAACTAAAGAAAATAATAGTGCAAATGTTGAAGAAAGACCATCAACTTCTGAAATAGATATGTCACATTATCAAGATTCACAAAACATGTTTAAAAAGGTACGCCGTAGGCTAACACCTCAGACAACAACTGAATCATTACTAAAACAATTTCAAGAAGACAGGCAATTACAAGAGAAACAATTTTTTTTTTTAAACAAGCAGAAAAAGCTGATCAGCACAGAGAAAGATATCTAAAAACTTTAAAAGTGCTTTTGTTAAAAAAAAAATGATTTGGAGAATTGGAGAGTAAATCCGACTAGGTATATACCTACCATGAAATAGGAATTAGCAGTTTATTTATTTTTTTAGCCACTTATTTTTGTCTTAAATAGATTTGCTTTTTTTTTTTTTTTCAATAAAAGACTAATGTCATTAAAGTGTTTTAATTATTAAAATTTTACATAAGTACCCACATGTTTAGTTTACATGTTTATAATAATATTATAATAACAAGCTATAACTCTTTTTATTAAAATTATTAACCAATCCCTCTCTTTCATTTATAGGCATATTTTTTAGCCGGTCTTCTATAAATTGCTCATTCCACAAATCAGCATTATGAATGCAATGCCATATGAATGCAATGTCCATATAGCAGTAGCAATTTCTATAATTTTACAAATATTATGTGTTTATAAACTGAGTTCTTCTCCATCTGCCCTTCAATGTTCCAAAAGCATGCTCGATAACGACTCTAGAAGAACTTAAACAATAATTATGATGTCGTTCTCGTGGATTAAGCCGATAATTTTCGTTGAAAGGTGTCATTAACCATTTTTTTACGTCAAAAGCACTGTCCCCTATTAAATGATACTTTTCATCATTTACAAAATAATAGCTCCATGATGATCAATCTTTAGCTTCAAAGAAGAATTATCAAACACCTGAAACAAACTACATAGTAAAATATGTTTTAAATATTAAATAAAACTTCTTAAAGAGGGGGTGGGTGACTCAGTGGTTAAAGTCAGCACTTTGCATCCATGAGATCCAGGTTCGAATCCCGGCCGGTGACGGAATTTTTATTTAATTTATTTAATTAAAAATTAATTCTACTGCATTGGCAGGATTCCCCACTCGAGCATTCACTGTTGGGTTCTAATTAACAGTGCTGTTCCTAAAGTGGCGCTGGAAACTAACAAATCCTATACAGAACACGAGGCTAATAACCCTGGTAGTTGACGCGGATGACACCAAGTAAAAAAAAAAACTTAAAACTTACCCTTGCATCATGGGCTGATCCTGGAAACCCCATATATACATACGTGAACAACTATTTGAATCACAAATTGCCATAATGTTTATAGAATGACGGCGATATCTGCTTATGTAACTATCTTGTTGCATATTCTCGATTTTAATTAAAATGTGTGTGCTATCTAGGGCTCCAACAGTACCTAAGAAAAAATGTTACGATAATATATTTTTAATTCAATATACATATAGAGCATATCATAAAGCTTCTAATGGGATCAGCTGATAAAAATTATTTGCCAGATATATTTAGAGCTTTGAATATCATCCTCTAGAAAATAGACCATTAAATTAATCCTATAAAATAAAGAAGAGAAGTTCTTATTTTTAGAAAGAAAATCTTGAATAATTTATGTCTAGTTATACTTATAACTAGAAATAGGGATATGCATACTTTACCTGGATATTTTGTAAAACCTCTTGAAATTTCTTTCAGATGCTCCTCTGAACTTGGAAATAGTATGTAACTTTTTTAAGTTTGTTAACAATATATAGAACTTTATTTATTATGTCCATAACTGAACTTGGTGATATATTAAATCGAGTTCCAAATGACCAAAGAGTATCTTGCGTGGCCATGTACCATAAAAAAATTAGTAGTTGGTCTTTTATTTCAATGGGATAATGGCCCCCACTATATTTTTTGACAAAATGTCATTTATATCAGTTCTATATATTACACTTAAAAGTAAATCGAAAGTATTTCTTTCCATCATGAACAGTTGAAAAAATTGTACAACACTATCACACATTATAAGAAATAAACAAATTTAATGCTCAGAAAGTAAGAAAAAATTCGAATTATAATTGATACAATTTAAAACATAAACAACAAAATTTCAAATATTATCCATATCTCAAAGTGGTCCGAAGTAGATTAAAGGGAAGTAAAAGGCTCAAAGTCTGTCGACCACATAAATTTATTAGGTTGGGTTGCAAGCGCTTTCGACCTAAAAGGTCATCATCAGGCAAAAAATTTTTTGTAAGTGAGTAAGTAGGTAGGTACAATCTGCAATAATAATTTAGGATAACAAAACGTTTTTTATAGAAATGCTAGGTGTCTTACCACTATGTGTCCACAGAAAAAATTAAAAATGTTGAATTAAAATTTCAAATTGTAAAAATTGTTGTAAAAATTATATAATTGGCACGTACTGCCTCCCTCATTCGAGGTTGGATATTGTTCAATCTTGAACCTCGCCTGCCTCCATCTAATGAAGGTGGTTATAAAAGATAATATCAAATTTAAAGTTCCACATGTGTGCTTAAGGCACCATGTGAAAAATGTAACTTTTAGAAAAATACCGTTACTCCCCCTATCCCCAGTACAAATGGGGTAGACGGAGTTTGGTTTGTGTACACCCTTAAGCCTAATTAATTAATGATACCCCTTAAGCCTAGGCTTACATTTTTCACATGGTGCCTTAAGCACACATGTGGAACTTTAAATTTGATATTATCTTTTATAACCACCTTCATTAGATGGAGGCAGGCGAGGTTCAAGATTGAACAATATCCAACCTCGAATGAGGGAGGCAGTACGTGCCAATTATATAATTTTTACAACAATTTTTACAATTTAAAATTTTAATTCAACATATTTAATTTTTTCTGTGGACACATAGTGGTAAGACACCTAGCATTTCTATAAAAAACGTTTTGTTATCCTAAATTATTATTGCAGATTGTACCTACCTACCTACTCACTTACAAAAAAATTTTTGCCTGATGATGACCTTTTAGGTCGAAAGCGCTTGCAACCCAACCTAATAAATTTATGTGGTCGACAGACTTTGAGCCTTTTACTTCCCTTTAATAAACAACAAACACGAACGCCAATGTTGCCAAATGATGAACTGATTTTAAAACAAAATTGATAAATAAACTAAAATAAAAAAAAATATATAATAAATTGGTTTTATAAAAAACCTTAAATAAATGTAGAATATGATCACATATTGCAAGACACACATTTTGTGACTCATGAAAAGGTTTTTCCACTTCTTCAAGGTCTAAAAATCCGACGACGTAGCGAAATTACGCTCCTTCTGTGAACTACTAAGAGACACCTTTTACTTTACTTACTTTAACGACAAAGTAACGCCTTATTTTTTTTAATAACGATCCCTGGTTTGTTATTGACACACCCTGTATAAACAAGAAGTACTAAACTTTTATATCTGAACGAAGAGATGAAAAATACACAATGAATTTTATTTTTTCATCTTGTACGACAGATGATTCTCAATGCTTCCATTACTTCCTCTGTAACATTAAGTTTTTTTCTGACATTTTCTTACATTTAAAAGGCGTAAAGTGATGTTTAAAAACATTTAATTAACTTACGGTTATTACTTAAGTCTACTCATATGGTAATAAATTGTATAGCCCAAAACATTGTTAGATTGAATACCACCACATGGTGTTCTTTAAAACCTGATTAAATTAAAATACTAAATCGACTAGCCATTTTTCGTTTTCGTAATAGAGAGAAAGTGTTAATTAAAACTCTGTAATTACTGTACACAAGGGATGGAACTCAAATTACGAAGTTTTAAGGTCTGATTATAGCTTTCACTGGAGACCTATATTCGCCGTTTGTACATACAATAATCATAGACCACAAGAAATACACTGTTTCTAGAGAAAAATTAATGAAGATATTGTTCCTGCACTATCCCTTTTTTCAACTTGTAATTAACCTGTACTAATTATTATCCAGACCTTTTCTATCTATTAGGCATTCCAAACAAATGAATTGCCAGTGGGAAGGTTTGGTATACTCGTATCTAATGGTGGCGACATACGGTGTATTCTATCTACTTTACGTAAAATCATGAATAATGGATTACATTTAAATATTTTATGTCGAACACAATACAAATAATATTTAAAAAACCCACCTATACATTTCTTCATAAATTGGCAGGCTTGGCGACTACTACTTCGAATAAAAATAGTGTCCAAGTTGCAAGACTATGTCGCTACCCCCTTAGATATACAAGCATTTCCCACTGGCACCTATTGTTTGACAGGTCGTTGGAATGCCTAATTATAGTAACCAATAAAACAATTATTTAATATTAAGGTACTTTTAGATGGTCAGGTCAGTTCTCCGTTCAGTCCACATACTTTGATTTTTCAGTACAGTTGGCAGTCCAGTTTGAAAATTACACCCCTTTAACCTTAGACTAGGTAATAAAGAGAGGACTCATAACGTCGCTGAAAATTTTGTGCCATTTTGACACCAACGATATTTGACCAAAGGCGTAACATGTTGGAAATAATAAAACGAACTTGTATTTATGTTATTAGCAAGTTCAAAGCGTAAAATTTAAAATAAATAAGTAACAATAAATAAGACACAAGAAAAAAATATATTGAAATAAACTAAATGAAATCGTTTACATAATAAAATGAGTTTTTTTAAATTCCGCAAAATAAAACAATGATCTACATGTATGACAAAAAGATTTATTTTTACTTAATAAAGAATGACACTACATAGATAGCACAGACACTTTTCAAAGACATCTTAAATACGTTTGTTCACGACGTTCGTGACGTTTTGAATATCTACTCTAATATCCAAAAGAGGTTTTAAAGGCGTCTATAGGACGTACTTTGTTACAAAACAAGGCGTCTTTAGGACATTTTGTACGTCTTTAAGGCATCCAGTTTTGTACGTCTTGAAGACAAACCGTATTGGACGTGTTTGAGTCGTCTATTTACTTGATGGAAATTCATTTAAAACAAAATAAATGAATACTTGTCTACTATATTTAATACTGTTTATTATACATTATTAAACTATTAAAACTGACACAGAGTAAATATTATTTTACAGTGTTGGATAAAATAATTTAAAAATGACTTCAAGTACTTGTTGATATGAGAAACTACTCCAGTTTGGTCAAATTAAAAATTTCTTTTATGGTATTAATTTTAGCCAAAGCGTTTGTAACTAATGTCTCCGTAGCATATAATTTTGTTGAGTTATTCTTTTAAGGTGTTTTTCTAAAAAATAAAACATTATTAAAGTGAGGTTATGAAATTAAAAGGCAAATAAATTAAAACTTACCTTTTTTTATTGATAAAAATTTACTAGTTCCGGTATACCACAGTTCCAATAATAGCAAATAAATAATAAAAAAAGACAATGTATAAAAACACACAACCACGAAAATGACAATGTCCACAGACTGACTCTAAAAATATTATACAATGGCTGTCCCGAGAAGAAGGCAGCTAGAGGAAGAACACGACTCGATACGCGCGCGCGAGACTCCAATCAGCGACGATCTACATGCGCTGCAGGCAGTGCCAACAACGCTGTCGTGGCGCCATATTCAAATATAGCGAAAAGAGTTGAACGTCCACATTATCGACATATTTAAAACGTCCTAAAAACATCCCAACAAATACGTTTTAAACATATTCTGAGCAGGTCGTCTTAAAACCGTCCGTTTTACGTACCATGACGTTTGGACGAAAGTAAGACATGAACTGGACGTCTTTAAGATGTAATGTGCTCTCTAAATATTATTAAATTAAGCTAGTAAGAAAAATTATACATAAATGAAGATAAATTTATTACTGACCCTTAACTAATACTAATTTGGTACAATAACAAGAAGTTTTAGCGAACAACTCTTTTTTTTAAGTTTGTGTTTAAGAACTTTGATTTGTCTTGTTTTTTCTTTATTCTTTTCTACCTGTTGTAAAAGTTGTCTTCTAAGCCGTTTTATGCTAGGGCTTTCTTATTTGATTCCTTATTTGAAGTTCTATTTGAAGGGCCTGGCTCAGCTTCCAAATGCAATGCTCTTCTTTTTAAGTACTACAAACAATCAATTATTACGTAATGTTTTGAATTATACACAAAAGGGTTGCTAAATTCTTAAAAGTTCATAATATAATAATGAAAAGTAATTAAAAAATATATATATGTTTAATTATATTTATTAGTATACGCACCTTCTTCGGCTGCATGTATTTAGAGAATTCAGGAAATATAGTGGGAACTGCTCCATTTAGTAAACGTCTTTTACCATAAAAAAAGTCTTTCAAACTGTTTTGAACACTTATCATTTGGCGTAGGCATCCAATTTGCAATTTTCGTTGCCTGAATCCAAAGATTTTTTGCTGGATCCACAGGAAATCTAAAATAAAACAACAAATAAATATTGCTGCAATTACGCGTCCTCTCTTTATTACCTAGTCTAAGCCTTTAACTGACAACTGATTCGATAACTTTTGGTATACCCATCGAGCCACAGCTCCGTATCAGTTTCAGTTTTTCTTACAGTTTTTTGTGTTTACACATACAGATAACTAAAACTGAGACTGAACGGAGAACTGATCTGACCGTATAAAAGTACCTTAAGACATTCCAAACAAAATGGCTACCAGTGGGTTTTGGCAGGTTATGATATGGCAAAATTATGGCAACCCTGTAGGCCTGGTGATTTGACAAGGTCAATGAAATAGATAGATAGAATGATCATCCATATTTTTCAAAATAAACATAAGCTTATTCCTTGAAGTAAAAATGTAGGTAATTATTATTTTTACTATACTCGAAAGGCTAAATATTGGTTTGTAAATATATTTTCTGATTAATGAGGCAATATGGCCGCTCGCAAACGACCCGCTTTGAGCAATCTATATAACTATATATGTATCATTGACCCTGTCAATGACAACAGGCTAACAGGGTTGCCATATCTAAATGTCAGTTCCCAATTAGGCATTCCAAATAAATGAATTACCAGTGGGCAGGTGTGGTATATCTAAGGGTGGCATTCAGAGAAGAAATAGTGGATGTTGCTAAATAAGTTTGTTACATATATTTAAATCCTTTTCTCAGTGTAATATCCGAATTCATATGAATCTTGGTAATTTTTACCAGTATGGTGTACTATATCTACTTTACGTAAAATCATGAATAATGGATTACATTTAAATATTTTATGTCAAACACAATAAAAATAATATTTAAAAAACCCACCTATACATTTCTTCATAAATTGGCAGGCTTGGCGAGTACTACTTCGAATAAAAATAGCGTCCAAGTTGCAAGACTATGTCGCTACCCCCTTAAATATACAAGAATTTCCCACTGGCACCTATTGTTTGACAGGTCGTTGGAATGCCTAATTGTCAGCAGTTTGACAGGTCGTTGTCATTACTTTCATTATTACATTTTTAGACCTCCCTTGTATAATTCGAGATTTGGACAATGGAATATTGCTAACAAAAACAAAGTTCCCGATCAAATTTCAATTATTTTTTTGAAAATTGTACGTTTTATATCTTCCGGGCCTCCCCAAAATCGTTTTCTGTAAGAAAATCTCTAATAGAGCCCATACACCACCAAAATTTTGTGCCGGATCTGGTCCGTAAAGAATCAGGTCCGTTGGTTGTGTGGATAACAATTTTCTCATGAATCAAATCCGGCAGATACTGGCTAGATCCTTCGTGGCTCTAGGACTGAAAAGTGTCTCGGTGTATGGTCTTCATCCGATGTTCGTCCTCTAGTCTGGTCATAATAGCCTATTTTGATTACTATTAAAAAACTCTTTAATTAATACTTAATATTTACTTTTGTTTTATAGGAAGCGTCGTCTCCTCATACGAATGGTGAACATGTAGCTTTAGGAAATTCAGGGGAAATTAGAGAAAACGGCAGTACCAACGGTGATAAAATAAAAATTGAACGGCCTCCTAGTAGAAGTGGATCATCGTCGTCAAGGAGTACGCCGTCTTTGAAAAGCAAAGATGTAAGTAGAAATAACATTAGAATTTTCATATTTTTTTTTGTTAGAGTATTGTTACTAGTCATTATTGACTAACCTACAATTTTAATCTAAAAATCTTATAAACTAATTACTTATCTAAGTAGTCCCCATTGGGCTGTCTCATGATTTATTACACTGTTTTACACTAGCACTAACATTAACGTTCACTGCACCAGCGCAAATGGCTTCTTTTGAGTCTTCTGTTAAGTGTAAAGTTATCCAGTAATTGCAGCGCTTCTTCGTTGACGTGGGAGTGGAGTCGACCCTCATGTTTCGCAGCAAACCTCTTTATTTCTTCTTCGATTGTTGGCATCTTCAGGTCTCTATAAAGATAATCGTTTCGATAGAACCAAGAACCAAGGTGCATCGACAATGCATCTTAGGACTTTGTTTTGGAAAACTTGTATCATGTTGATATTACTCTTGCTTGCACATACCCATAGCTGTATGCCATGAATCCAGATTGGTTTTAGGATTTGTTTATAAATCAGCAGTTTGTTGCACACTGATAATTTGGATTTTCTTCCTTGGGGCCAATACAAGTTCTTTACGCTTTTTTATGTGCTCTTTCCATTTAAGTCTTACATCTAGGTATATCCCTAGGTATTTGGCCGAATCGTGATGCGGAATATCGTCATTGTTTATTCTTTTGTTTTTGTTCATTTGGTCGAAGAGTAAAATCAACATGTACTGATTTATTTTTATTTTCCACTTTTTTCCATCGATTGATTCTGTTGCAGGTTTCCTGAAGTTTTTCTGGGGTCTCTGTATTAGTTTCGCCAACTGCCAATATTGCAGTGTCATCCGCAAATGTTGCTATTTTAATACATTGTTGTTGAGGGATATCGCTGTTGTATAATAAGTAAAGAACCGGTCCTAGCACACTGCCTTGTGGGACACCTGCTTTAATTTCTTTCATTTCGGAGTATGCCTCGTCTTGCTTTACTCTACATTCTTCCGTTAAATATGATTGTAGAATGTCGACATATTATCTAGAGATCATTGTTTCAAGTTTCTGTATCAGGCCAGTGTGCCAAACTTTGTCAAATGCTTGGGCTACGTCAAGAAATATAGCTGAGCATATATATTTTTCTTCGCAAGATTTTTCGATGATATCGGTTATCCTGTGTACTTGATCTATTGTCGAGTATTTGTCTCTAAAACCAAATTGGTGCTAAGGGATCAGATTTTATTTTCAAATATTATTTTTAGTAGTAATTTTTCAAATAACTTAGATATCGGTAACAATGATATAGGTCTATATGATGACACTTCATTCGGAGGTTTTCCTGGCTTAAGGATTAGGATAACTTCAGCCATTTTCAACGCATCAGGTATATATTTAAGACGAAATGCTGCATTTATGAGGTATGTCAATTTAACAATAGCCTTCCGTGGTAGTTTCTTTAATATTTCTCCAGTAATAAGGTCATATCCTGGGACTTTCTGTGAGTTGATGTCTGTCTGAATTTCTTTCCTAACTTCATTGGGAGTAACTAGCCTAATTTCAAGTTGTTCCATATTATGGATCGTCTCATTAAGAGTGTCTTGATTTTCATCTAATTGGAACGTCTTTTGTAGGTGGTCAGTGAAAATAGCAGCTTTCTGTTGATTGTCTCTTGTCCGTTTGTTATCTGCTATTCCGATAGGAGGACAGTGTTTACATGAATTTTTCGTGTTTTTAGTTGCGAATAATCATTTTATTTATCATCTGTTAGCCCTACTAGGTATCTGTTGAAGGATTCTTCTTTGTGATTTAGGATTTCTCTTCACAGTCTTTGGGTAGCCCTATTTAATATATTTTTATCTTCTGGTAATCTTGTCATCTGCCATTTCTTTCTTAGTTTTCTTTTTTCTGTTACCAGTTTCTTATCTCGACAGGAGAGTTTTTTCCAGCTGTTAATCTTCTTACTTTTGGTGTGTTCCTCCATGCAGCTTGCTGGATTTCAACTATAAACCTTTCCAGTTCTTTATCTAGCTGATTTTTATTTTCATATTAAAAATACATTCATAAAATTATTAAAATAAATAAAAGGACCTGCTACTAGAAAATTGCGAAACTGTTACAAAATGCGAAACCTGCAAAATGCTTTGTAATACATTCCAACGAAGATGTACAAATACAATTAATTATAGTTATAGTCTTCCTGAGATAGGACAAAAGTCTACAAGTTTTGGTTGTCTGTATTTTTATTTTTGTTCATTGTCTCTTCTCTATCTTCTGCGACTTCGCCTTGTTTTTATAATTTACTCATTCTAACCTTAAGAAAGTTTAAATCTCAATAAATTTACGACAAAATTTTTAATGGTAATACTAATACAGTAACAATGCTTACTCAAAGGAGTATTAGAGTACTAACACTCCATAGAGTATACAGAACACGAGACTAACGGCTCGAGTTGTCGAAGCCGAAGACATATTTATGAAATACAGCTACCCTTTACGTATATTGTTCTTGGATCTGTCATCATCATTAATTTCGTATTGTTTCACCAGAGTGCATATTCACGTCAGTTCAGTTTAAGTTTTCTAAATGTCTTGTATCTTGTCAGTGTTTCAGTAAATTTTTTGTGTAAAATAGTTCAAATAGATTCATCTTTATGGGTATAATTAATAATCTGGCTTGTTTCGGATTTATCCTTCTCTCAGTTTATGTATATGACACATGTAATTTAACACCGGTCATCGATTCAACTGTAAATAGCCTTGGACCAACTTTTGCAGAAGTTAAGAAACTGGCCACCGAAAGTACTGATAAATTGAAGAATAAATTTATGGGTGATAAAAAAAAATAAACGCTATGAAAACGGTGATAGTCGCGTTGAGGACCTATCAAGAAACGGTTGTGTTTCCAAAATTTTCACAACCATTAAAGTTGGTGGCAAAACTTTTATAATGTAGCTTGGCGTAAACCATTCGCTAAATATGTCCATCGCCTTTGTAGTGTAATGAAATTTAATAAAGCCATTTGTAACTAGAACAGTGTTAATTAGTAATTCTAAATTTGGTCACTGAACACCTGATCAAAAAGGCAAGTAGTGTAGAGGTTTTAATTTTAGAGATTACAATGATTGTAGCTTTTATACTTCCATTGTCTTGCTTTCATGTGGGTAGTGTTGTATATTTAATAATTCTATCTTATGGATAATAATGATTTTAAAGTAATTCATAAGTTGAAGTAATTCCTGCAAAACAAAAATTGAAATTGTCGACAAAAAAGAGAATGAAAACCTGAAAAGGAAAATCGCTAATATCGATTCGAACTTTTCTAAACTTATTACCGAACAAGTTACCAAAGCTATCTTTGACCAATTCCTAGATGAGATAACTCAAAAATTAGAATCCTGTTTTGAAGCTATTTAAGAAAAGATTAAAGATGCAATTTCTACAAATTCTTCAAATATAACTGAACCTTCTTATGCCAATGTTGCTTCTCAATCCAAGTTTATTCTGCAGCCAAAAAACAATATTACTCAATCAGTTTCCACAACTAAATCCAAAATTTTACGTAGTGTCAATCCGATGAATTCTAATATTGAGGTCTCGAACGTAACAGCAACACGTAATGGTGCATTAGTAATAAGTTGTAATAAAGAAGACTCTTCCAAATTTCGAGAAATCATTAATAATAATCTCGGTGATAAATATAATGTCAAAACAATATCTTCTCTTCATCCAATAATTAAAGTGACGAACATGGCAGAAAAATTTGACGATGTGACCTTATTGGACTACTTAAAGATTCAAAATAAATCATGTTTCAGTGATAATTCTACTTGTGAAATTGTTAATGTTAAACCTCATAAGAATAATGCTAAATTATTTTAAGCTGTCTTGCAGGTTGATTCTAATACGTATCAAAGGGTTATGAAATTAGGCAAACGGGCTGTTGGATTTGATTTTGACTGTTTAGTATACTGTGCTATTGAACCTCGTAGATGGTTTAATTGTTGGGGACTACATCACTTAGCAACTCAATGCAATAAAAATGAGCCTACCTGTCCAAAGTGCTCTCTAAACCATTCATCAAAGGACTGTCGTTCTAAAAATTTCCAATGTTGCAATTGCTTTAACCTTAAAACTAATCATAACTTAAATATACCATTTGATCATGCAGCATGGGATAAAGATTGTCATTATTATACAAAAGCACTTACAAAGTTTAAAAAAAATATTATACCTTCCCAATAGCAAATACTGACCTCTACAGTTACTCAAAAGAGAAACTTTATTGCTCCTCCTGATGCACATATTTCTTACATTTCTTTTTATTACCGAAACATGATGGGGAATTGTTTGATCTTAGTCAATTTGATGTTTATAGAGCTGACCGTAAATATGATATAACCGGTACTTCGAGAGGTGGTGGAAGTATTAACTGCCGGAAGAAAAGATTAATGCTCAAACATATTAGATATAACTTCATTTACTGAGGTTATCATCAATATTGATGTTCTACTGATAAAAATTAAACCTCATAATGTAAATATTTATATTTTAATTTTATACATACCACCAGCCACGTCTACTAGACACTATGAAATGGTATTTGAATATATTTCGACGCTTACTATTCTGTATAATCAGAAATTAAGAGCAATCCAGTCCCTTCTGACGTCACACCGCACGAATATCACGACCTCCCCTTAAAGTATTTGGAACCTTGTTCGCTACATAAATTTGGCAATGTTGTGTGTCGTACGCTGAAGGGTCCGATTACAATTCAGGTAGGTATAATTCGTTGGCTATCGCCGCCTACTGGGGGTTAGTGACTTGTTAATATACGAATGTAGGAATACTATTTTTAAACCAAATAACTCAAATATTTTTTATTTATTGATAGTTATAGATGATATACAGGGTGTCCCGAAATTAGACGGTCATATTTTAACAGCGTAATCTACATCCTAAAATAGTAGTAAAAGTTCATATAAACATAGGTCCGAAAATGTTTCTTTTCCGAGATACAGGGTGTTAAAGG